GGGCCTTTTGTGTGGGCTGCCATGTTTCTGGAAGTGCTCAGCCTTCCACCAATTGTCCACTTTACACTCAAGGACACTTGCTCCTGGGTGTTCCAGGGAAATCACTACTGTAAGCTGGTCCAGTGGTCAATGAAGTGATACATGAGTTAAAACCTTATTTGAGAGAAGCATCCTTCCCCTCTGGCAAAACACCCATCCTTCTGGCAAGGTAGCCAGGAAGCGGCAAAGCCCCAGCTCCCTGTCCTGTTTATCCACCCTCCTCCTAAGTCACTGTGATGCTGAGAGTCCATTAGACAGCAGACTGACAAGGCAGCAGGAAAAAAAGAAAGAACACAAAAAGTGGTCTCATTTGAGTGTGAAAATATAAAGATACTTTTTTTTTTTTTGAGTTGGAGTCTCACTCTGTCGCCCAGGCTAGAGTGCAGTGGCACACTCACGGCCACCCCAGAGTCGACCTGCTGGGCTCAGGCAATTCTTCCACCTCAGTCTTCCAAGAAGCCAGAACTACAGGCGCGCGCTACCATGCCCAGCTAATTTTTGATTTATTGTAGAGACGAGGTCTTGCCTAGTTGCCCGGGCTGGTCTCGAACCCATGGGCTCAGGCAATTCGCTTGCCTTCGGACTCCCAAAGTGCTGGGATTACAGGCTGAGTCACCAAGGACGGACTCTTTTTTTTTTTGAATCGGAGTCTCACTCTGTCACCCAGGTTGGAGTACAGTGGCACACTCATGGCTACTCTAGCCTCAACCTGGGATCAGGTGATCTTTCTACCTCAGCCTTCCAAGTAGCTGGAAGTACACAGGTACATGTCACCAAGTCCGGCTAATTTTTTGATTTATTGTAGAGATGAGGTCTTACCAAGTTGTCCAGGTTGGTCTCAAACCCCTGGACTCAGGCAACTCTCTCGCTGCTGCCTCCCAAAGTGCTGGGATTATAGGCGTGAGCCACCGTACCCAGTCAAAAATTTAAAGACACTTTAAAATTCTTATTATCCCACATCTATCTCCCAGCTCCACTGCACAGCCTTTTTTGAACTTGGGGAATTGACACAGGACACATGAAGGGGAAAGGCCCAGGGGAGTGAAGAGGCTGGGATGAATTCTGTCAACACACCCAATTCTCGTCTACCTCCATCAATTTCTGGTAGGAAAGACTTGGAGGACAGTGGCTGGGGAGTTGCGAGCAATGGAGGTGTAGGAGCCAAGGGGGCTCAGGAATAGAAACAAGGTGGCCAAGCACAAGGAGAAGAGGACCTGGGGAAAACTCTGATCAGCTCCTTAAGGCTCTGGACCATCTTTTAGGTCTGTAATACCTCAAAAGAATTTGTTGAGTTTTCCCCACATTCATAAAAGGGAAAATAAGAGGAAGTAGGTTTCTTTCTTTTTTTTTTTTGAGTTGGAGTCTTACTCAGTCGCCCAGACTGGAGTGCAGTGGCC